CTGGCTTAAGCAGGGGGACACTTCTGGCACTGCAGGATCTGAGTCCCTGGTGGCGTAGTGTGTTACTTTTGGTAGCCTTTGTTACGTTGGTCCCAGCTCTCTGCAGGTCATTCACTAGGTTCCCCCGTGTGGTCCTGGGATTTTTGCTCACCGTTCTTGTGATCATTTTGACCCCACGGGGTGAGATCTTGCGTGGAGCCCCAGATCGAGGGAGATTTTCAGTGGTCTTGTATGTCTTCCATTTCTAATTATTGCTTCCACAGTTGATTTGTTCACACCAAGCTGCTTGACTATTGCAGATTCAGTCTTCCCAGCCTGGTGCAGGTCTACAATTTTGTTTCTGGTGTCCTTCGACAGCTCTTTGGTCTTCACCATAGTGGAGTTTGGAGTGCAACTGTTTGAGGTTGTGGACAGGTGTCTTTTATATTGATAACAAGTTCAAACAGGTGCCATTGATACAGGTAATGAGTGCAGGACAGAGGAGCCTCTTAAAAAAGAAGGTACAGGTCTGTGAGAGCCAGAAATCTTGCTTGTTTGTGGGTGACCAAATACTTATTTTCCACAATAATTTGCAAATATTTTCTTTCCAAATCAGCCAATGTGATTGTCTGGATTTTTTTTCTCATTTTGTCTCTCATAGTTGAGGTCTACCTATGATGCCAATTACAGGCCTCTCTCATCTTTTTAAGTGGGAGAACTTGCACAATTGGTGGCTGACTAAATACTTTTTTGCCCCACTGTATATTTTACAAAAAATAGGGTAATTTATTGCTTTTTATTGCTTGTAATTTTTACAGAAATTTTGCGATAATATTATGCGACATAAAAAATTGGAACTACCACTATTTTATTCTCTAGGGTCTCTTCTTTCATATAATATATGTTAGGGAGCTTTATGTAATCTTCAAGCCTAAAATGATTTTTTAAACTTGTGAAAATTTTTTTATTTTTATCTGAAAAAGTAGATTGTCACACCGATTTAGTCTCTGGACAAGTAGTTTTTTTTAAAACATTTCCACACCCCTGAAATTTAAAAATCTGAATAAAAAAAACATACCATTTTAGTTCATCAATTATGTTAAAAAGCAGAAATAATAAAAATTATGCAAAATTATTAAAAAAAACCCCTCAAAACGTCCTAAATAAAATATGGACCTAATGAGATATAACACCTCTGGGTGGACAGACCACTCTTTGGGATCCAGCCATTGACAACTTAGGAAGTGTACTTGCCAATTTGTCATGTTGGGAATGTGCACTGCGGACAGAACCAGAACAAGCAGTTCTGCCCAAGTCAGAATAAACTCCACTTCATAAAGAGTGGCCAACTCTTGTGGGAGTCATCCCTCAATTGCTCCCACAGGAGAGGATAGTCCAGATACCCCAGAATGGGAATGTTCCAGGTAAACACAAGGGCCAGCACTTTTGTGAAAACTGGTGCTACCATGGCCAAGCCAAATAGTAGAGGTACAAATTAAAAATGTTGTTCCCCACACCACAAAGCAGAAGTAGATAGAGATGTGGAGGTAGGCATTCTTGATGTCCACTGAGACCAGAAAATCACACAGATAAAGTGAAGCAACCAGTGAACGTACAGATTCTGTATGTAACTTTTGAACATGCAAGAACTTGCTCAAGTGCTTCAGGTCTAGAATGGACCACACATTGCCATTTGGTTTGGGCACCATGAACAGGTTGCAACAATAACCATGAAACCTTTGCTGTTCTAGAATGGGGCAATCACCCCAAGAGCACAAATGATCCAGGATGGCAAACAGATACAGTTAGCATGTTTGACAAGATGAAGAGTGGATGAAGCAAAGTGTGAAACTCCAGCTTGTAGCTTCTAGACACAACATTTTGAACCCAATCATCGTAGATACGCGGTCAATGTACAGTGGGGATCGAAAATTTGGGCACCCCAGCTAAAAATTTGTATTAATGTGCATAAAGAAGCCAAGGAAAGATGGAAAAATTTCCAAAAGGCATCAAATTACAGATTAGACATTCTTATATGTCAACAAAAGTTAGATTTTATTTCCATCATTTACACTTTCAAAATAACAGAAAACAAAAAAATGGCATCTGCAAAAGTTCGGGCACCCTGCAGAAGATAGCAAAGCGTTATCAGATGTCAATATCCTCTGTTCGGAACGTAATTAAGAAATGGCAGTCATCAGGAACAGTGGAAGTTAAAGCAACATCTGGAAGACCAAGAAAAATATCAGACAGAACAGCTCGCAGGATTGTGAGAAAAACAATTCAAAACCCATGTTTGACTGCACGATCCCTCCAGAAAGATCTGGCAGACACTGGAGTTGTGGTACACTATTCCACTATAAAGAGATACTTGTACAAATGTGGTCTTCATGGAAGAGTCATCAGAAGAAAACCTCTTCTACGTCCTCACCACAAAAATCATCGTTTGAACTTTGCAAATGAACATATAGACAAGCCTGATGCATTTTGGAAACAAGTTCTGTGGACCGATGAGGTTAAAATTGAACTTTTTGGCCGGAATGAGCAAAGGTACGTTTGGAGAAGAAGGGGCACAGAATTTAATGAAAAGAACCTCTGTCCAACTGTTAAGCATGGGGTTGGATCAATCATGCTTTGGGGTTGTGTTGCAGCCAGTGGCACAGGGAACATCTCACGAGTAGAAGGAAAAATGGATTCAATAAAATTTCAGCAAAGTTTGGATGGTAACTTGATGCCATCTGTGAAAAAGCTGCAGTTAAAGAGAGGATGGCTTCTACAAATGGATACTGATCCTAAACACACCTCGAAATCCACGGGGGATTACATCAAGAGGCGTAAACTGAAGGTTTTGCCATGGCATTCACAATCTCCTGACCTCAACATAATTGAAAATCTATGGATAGACCTTAAAAGAGCAGTGCGTGACAGACAGCCCAGAAATCTCAAAGACTGGAAGACTTTTGTAAGGAAGAATGGGCAAAGATACCTCAAACAAGAATTGAAAGACTCTTGGCTGGCTACAAAAAGTGTTTACAAGCTGTGATACTTGCCAAAGGGAGCAGTACAAGATATTAACTCTGCAGGGTGCCCAAACTTTTGCAGATGCCATTTTTTTGTTTTCTGTCATTTTGAAAGTGTAAATGATGGAAATAAAATCTAACTTTTGTTGAGATATTTTAAGAATATTTAATCTGTAATTTGATGCCTTTTGGAGATTTTTCCATCTTTCCTTGGCTTCTTTATGCACATTAATACAAATTTTTTAGCTGGGGTGCCCAAACTTTCGATCCCCACTGTAGCTGCAAAGACCACCAAAATCACTTCAATTGCAGAAGTGGGGGGATTCCTTCACTAGACGTTTGTTGCCTGCTAAGACTTTTTCCGAAAGTATGTTTTGTGTTTTGTCCCCGAGTGTGGCAATGATTTGTAATCATGCAGTCTTCAATTATACGTTTACACTCGTTTAGGTGTGTCATGCGCTTGGGCGCAATTAAATGTATGTTCCAGCGCATTTTCAGGTGTCAAGCATTTTTTTTTTGCCAAAACGCCACTGCTGCTAGGACACACTGACAGGTTTTTTTTGGGCCCCTAAACTCATCCAAAAGTTTATATGTGCATGCACACATAGGTTAATATGAGGGGGTATTGAGAGACAGGAAAAAAAAAAAACTGCAAGAGGCCCCTAGGAGCAGCTGATAACACGTACGGTTCGCATGGGGCCTGAAATTAGCATTTTGAGAAGGAAAAATAAGCATCTATGTAATCATGACAAGCATATTAAAAAATACTGACTGGAATACAAAAATATTTGTTCATACCATCTTTTGTCTGCTAGGTAAATGAACATACCATTACTGAAAAATTAGTACAAGTGCCCATTTAAAAGAACCAGCTACAACTGCTCAACCAACAATCTGAGCATTCATTCTGTAAAGGTTATGAAATCTTATTTAATCTACTTTTTTTCTGACTTTTAAGTTAGAATCAGAATGTTAAAAAGGTCAGCTAAAAAACACTTCAGTTCTAAAAATGTTAGTTGTCTAGCTCTCATGATGACTCTCTTGCTTTCTTACTGTAAGGTTTCAAACACATGGGTGTACTGTTCTGGATATCTACGTGGAGGGTTGTCTTCACTAGTTTCACCAGCATGGGATGCACAGGTGTTTTCCGTGCAGACCCTTGCAGACTGCCTGTTCAAATCATGGACATGCAGCCAGCTGGACTGACCTGTGTAAATTCATGCAGGTCTGATACATGAACCAGGAATCAGACAGACTATGTTCTAATCCATGAATTAGACCTGCACAGATGTGCTGTCAGTAATGTGCTCAGAGATCTATGCAAGTCTGTGCAGCCAGCCACCTGCCATGGATTTGAAAAAGCAGTCTTCATGGAATACCTGTGCATCCTCTACGGGTCAAGACGGCCCTTCACATGGGTGTACAGATTGGTACACCCATATTAATGAGGCCTAAGACACTGACACTTCACTGACTCACATACTTATTGAGGAATTGTGACTCAAAGTATTAAAGCTTGTTGATCAAAATAACAGCCGGGACCATGTTGCTTGCCTGTGCACTTCCTAACGCACATTCTCCCAACTTCTGAAAGCATAGTGTGTGAACGGCAGAAGCTGACAAGCTATATGTGATCTTTCGCCCCCTAACTCAAAGCACAAAATAAAGCTAAACAAGGAGGTAAATATAAATCTTTAATTAACAAGACTGCAACATCATAATAATTTAACACAAACCTGTCAGCGCTATAAAGGCATTGAACAGGCTGCAGCAATACAACATAGGCTCGTAGTGGCACCTTCACATATCTTTCTGTAACCACTACAACAGCAGCAGTGCCCCAAATCGACAAATAACAAACATCAAGAAATTGCATGACGGGTATGATTTGTTGCTCTGTGTCACTCACTTTGGGATAAAAAGGTAAAATAACGTAAACATTAGCATACCCAACATTAGAAGGTAGAATGTGATACTAGGTATAAATACACAGTTATTAACTTAGCATGTAAGAAGGCATATATCCTCATTTGTTTGTTCACTGGAAACACTCTGAGGTACTTTCTTGATACCAATTATTAAATCTATTGTCACAAGCTTAGTAATGCACTGGAGCACTGAAGCCATCAATTGGTATTTGCAAGACACTGATTCAAGACCTGTCTGGGTTACGTCTATTGTCTCTTTCTTTTTTAATGCATCAAGACAGTGTTTATATACAAGTGGAAAACTTTCCTTCTTAGCTTTGTAGATGTGTTTGGGAATACTTAAGAGGGCTTCTCCAAAAGTAGTACAAATCATTGCAAGCTCTGCCTCCTGGCACGTTTTGGCAAAATTGTGGAGATGATGACTCAATAAAATTTCAAACAGTCCCCCACTTGGTAATACTAGTCCGATATTTGTATACCTATTTGTAGATATAACCTGTTTATGTGATGTGACATCTACAGGTAATTTTGATCTTGATTTAAGAATCACTAAACATCTTGCAGGTTCTGCTTCCACTGCTTCCTGAAGGCTTTGTTCCAGCTGATGTAAACATGTATGAATACCTGTACAGAACTGGGAACATGTTCTTAAGCTATATGTCGGTTCTTGTAATGTCTGTTCTGAAATGTCTCCTGGTACACTGTGTGTGCAGTGCATATGAGTGTATTGATCCATTCTTTGCAGACGGCAGTCACAGCAGTCTGAGTCATTCTGGCAATTGCTACAAGTTACTCTTTGTTCTTCTAGGGACACTCTTCTATTTGGTAAACAAAAGTCTGGATTATTTAGTGGCTGTTCCCAACTGGCATCTACTGGCTGGAATAACTGTTTAAGCATTTTAAAAGCCCCATGAAAAGATGAAGCAATCTGCTCACTCAGACCTCTGACAGGCCCATACAACACAATGCTGTGTGGTTTGAAGGCCAATGAACCACTGAAAACAAGCTGTACATACTTTTTGTCACCAATTAAAACTGACTGACAAGACTGTACCAGAAAAGAGTTATTCTGAAGATGATCATTGAGCTCTGTAGACACAGGAGTCGCTCCAGTGGCTGTGAAAAGCAGATCGATCTCTTCTGATGGTATACATTCCACTATAGATATGCCATGCAGTTTAGCATAGAAAGAAACAATTTCATGTTGTTTAACAACTGATAATATCAGCTTGATTTTATTTTTCTGAAATTGTTTCATTATATTTTCAGTCCTTTGCTCCAGTTGCTGCTGGGAGATTTGAAGCTGAATATGTGAAGAAACAACAAAGCCGATGCCTGATGCAGAAAGAGACTGATGGATTTGGTCTGTCACTATAAGTGCTTGTAGGTCTCCCTCTGCTGGACAGTATACTGAAAAAATCCCGATGAAGTACAAGGCCTGGCAGAATCCTGGAATTATCAACTGGAAATCCTGGAGCTTGTGTGTGAAGCTCAGAGAAGCATCTGTCCACAAAGCCGACTACTTCCAGAATGTCATCAACACAAAATAAACATTTAAACAGATAATCACAGGCCAGTCTACTAAGAATCCCCTGGTTGTTACACAAATTTCTTCCAGAAAAGTATGTATCCAGTGTTTGCTGCAGAGATGCTCTGCACAATGTAACATTTCCTTTCATGTTTGTGTACATGGAAAGAAAGTGTGGTCTTAGGCACTTTTTTATAATGGGCTCTAGCACTGTGCTCTGGAAAATCAATAGCATATTGCTTATTCTTCTTAACACATGGCATTTACTTTTATATCTCGCTTTTAATGTCGAATTCCCAGATAAAATTAGGTCCTGGTTTTTTCAGTTGTTCTCTGGATTTCTCTGAGGAAAGCACACAGCAGTAAAACAAATGATTTCACTCCATCTCCGGTAACACTGTAATGCTTGGAAGCACAGTTGACAATTACTCTAAGGAAAAACAAAAAATTAAAACAATTAACTTTGTATTTTGTTATGGTATGCGACTAATAGGTTCTTCTTTATGCATCAGCCATCTTCAATCCATGCATAGCAATATAACATCATATAATATATTATAATAATACTGTATAATATAGTCAATAGAATATATACAAAAGCAAGAGCACAAAATAAACTAACTGCACTGTATTCTGAATTGATACGGCCAACAATACAGAATACAGTATAAGGGTATGTAGTATAAAAGGGTTGTTCCCTTTGTATAGGTTCTGCTGAATTTAGTCCACACATACTTGAGTATATAATAAATGTCAGGTGGGGAGGGGGTGTCAGTACTAATGGAAGCTTTACAGACTGATAGATGTACACAATGAATTTATAATGCTCAAGAAATAAAAGCAAATTAAGCAAACAAGTTACTTAAAGTGGTTGTAAACTGTTGTTTTTTTTTTTTTTAATTAAAATAAACATGTTATACTTACCTGCTCTGTGCAAGGATTTTGCGGTTTCCTATGATGTCACACATGCTGCCTCGCTTCCAAGCCAGGCAGTGTGCATCTAGAGACACACACAGCACAGCTTGCTTCCCCCCCCCCCCCTTGACTTGCTGGAATTTATTACAATGGCTCCCACTGCTATCAATCTGCCTTGTGATAACAGGAAGATGGGCACAGCGCTGGATTGATACAGGAGTCATATAAGTATTTAGGAAGTGGGGAAGAGTAACAACTACTGAAATTTGTTTTACCCTAAAGTGTTACTAAACCCACAACAGTAAAATCAGTCTGTATATGCAGCAAAGTATACTTTACTCACTGTAGAACCTAAGGGGTTAATCCTCTGCATTGTGTATATATGCTGTTTGATCCTGACTTCTCTGATCCTCCCCTTCTTCCAGTTTCACCCTCTTTTCCCCTGGTAAGACATATCATGTGGAGTGATTCTGCACATCCTAAGTTTGATGTGTAATGCTTGAAAGTTTTTTTTGTTTTCATGGGAAAGTGCATGTGATCAGCACAGGGCCAATCAACACTGTCCAGACAGAGGTCAGGTGTTCTGCTTCCTCCTAGAGAAAAATAAAAACTCCTCCTACAAGCTTTACCCAGTGCTTGGCTGGACACTGATAGAAGTCACAAGACTACTCAAACTGCTGATGAGAAAAGGTATTTAGCAGCTGGGGCGGACTGACCATTTGGAAACTCGGGCACTGCCCGAGGGCCCGGGGGCAGTAGGGGGCCCCATGAGATGCCTCTGGTACCTTTTTCATAGGCTTTTTTGAGTTTGGGCAAGGACACAGGGGCCCCATGATCCCCTATTGCCCGAGGGCCCCATGAGTTGTCAGTCCGCCCCTGTTTAGCAGTTTATATTTACTAACATATTTGTACTTCCATGTTCTGTGTACTGTGGGAGAGCAGATATAGTGAATGCAGAGTCCTGGGTTTAGTAACACTTTAATGCACAGAATGCATTAAGGTAAAAAAAAACTTTTGAGTTTAGAACCAAACTAAAAGAAGAACCTTCCACAGCAGTGTGCTCGTGCCCATCCAGAGCAGTGTGCCCATGCTGACAGGGAGGAGGACTGTTAGTAAACAAAACAGTCCTCCTCCCCGTCCGAGATCCTCTGAAATCACCGGGCACCGATGAGCAATTACCAGCTGGGGTCCTGTGATTGACAGCCACGGCTGAGAATGTCGGCGCAGGTAGGGCTCACTTGTGCCCCCTACCTGGAAGTGCAAAATCACATATATATATGTGATTTTGCATACAGCTGTAGCCCTGTAGCAGTATTTCTGCTATAGGGTGGTCAGCAAGCGGTTAAAACGTCTCCCAAGGAAAACATAGGGTATTGAAGTTTATTGCTGTTTCACGAGGGGCAGGGAATTTTCATGCTTGACATGTTGGATATCTATTTACTCGGTGCAACTTCATCTTTTATGGTTTACCAACAAAAAGGGGAAAGTGCTTTTGCATATCCTAAAATTAACTTTAGTGTATTTTTTTACTGAAAATTTCCATTTCATTGCAATTAATTTGCTTTTCACTGTTGCGCAAATGCATGTGACATAAAAAAATTTAAAGTAGCAGTGTCTGCTTTCAGAAAATATATAATGTTTGGGGGGGTTTTAAAAAATCTTCAGGCTTAAAATTATTTTTTAAATGTGTAAACAAAAAATTTAAACAACTGAAAAAAATGGCTCAGAGACTCAAGTGGTTAAGGACTCCTGCTGGCAGATGTAAAAAAACTGATGTAAAAATGGATGAAAAACTGATGTAAACTGAACTGAACACTGATGTAAAAACTGATATAAACTGAATCAATTTTTTCTTTGAAAAAAAAAAAAGTGACTGAACGAATGACACCCCTGTGTAAGGACCCTAACTGACATTATCTGCAGATGGAAGTTCATCCCTTTGATCTGCAGATGTATGAACAAAATTATACAAAAGTAACATTATGTTGCTTTGTATCCTCCTATATTCCTGTCTGAGCAGTGTTGTTTAAAAAACACTGATTCAGACTGCTTTTTTGCAGCACCCTTTACCTTCTCTCAGTACAGAGTAATCCGGGCTTTCAATAATCAAAGCCAAGAACTGCTGTATACTTGAAGGGGGGGGGGGGGGGGGTAATAGCAGCAGGCCAGAAACTGGGTGTGCTACACACGTTCTGTGCACAAAGATTACTTTTTTGGGGGCATGTATAGCACACCCGAAGTCTGTAACTAGTTAAAGTAAGTTGAAAATAACAGACTTACTGAATCACCAGGTGAATATAAAGGTAAAAAGCCGAACAAAAAGAAAGCAAATGAAGTTACCACATCTAAGAATCGGTAAGCTGCAATTTAATACATTTTTGGTTTTGGGTTTAATATCGCTTTAAAATCAGCTGCTGTAAAAATATAAAATTCAAAGTAAAAAGCGGGCTATTTGATAATGATGGACAATATTCTGTGATGGCTTTCAGTGCAATCAGTTTTGCTGTTTTTTTTTTTATTTCTGAATATCCTAAAAACATGACCACTGTCACCATAATGGTTCATTCACACAGCCCGCGTAGGGCTGAGAAGCATGATGCGGCTGTACACGGGTATACGCTGGGGGCCATAAAATGCAGCCACATGCACATATGCCCTGAACACAGACTGTTTATTGAATAAAAACAAATCATGGACTGTGCGAGCGATGTGATTATACAGCAGATAAAATAAGTATTGAACATGTCACCATTTTTATAGGTAAATATATTTCTAAAGGTGCTAGTAACATGAAATTTTCACCACGTCAGTAACAACCCATGCAATCCATACATACAAAGAGACCAAAACAAATAAGTTTAGAAATTAAGATATGTGTAATACAATGGAACGACACAGGGAAAAAGTATTGAACATAAAAAGAAAGGGACGTGCAAAAAAAGCATGTAAAGCTAAGACACCAACTGAAATCTATCAGTAATTAGAAAGCAATCCTGCCCCTTGTCCCTGCAAATTAATATCAGCTGGTTCAGTCTCAACTGATGACCTATAAAAAGGTGTCTTATTACCAAAGAGTCACACAAGAAACATCTCGTGATGGGTAAAAGCAAATAGCTCTCTCAAGACCTTTGCAACCTTACTGTTGCAAAACATACTGATGGCATTGGTTAAGGAGGATTTCTAAACTTCTGAATGTTCCAGTGAGCACTGTTGGGCCATAATCCGGAAGTGAAAAGAACATAATTTCACCATAAAACAGCCACAACCAGGTGCTCCTCACAAGATTTCTGACAGAGGAGTGAAAAGAATTATCAAAAGAGTTGTCCAAGAGCCAAGGACCACTTATAGAGAACTTCAGAAAGACCTGGAATTAGCAGGTACAATTGTTTCAAAGAAAACAATAAGTAATGCACTCAACCGCCATGGCCTGTATGCACGCTCACCACGCAAGATTCTTTCCTTAAGAAAAAGCATGCTGAAGCTCATTTAACGTTTGTTGCACATTTAGATAAAGCTGTGAAATACTGGGAGAATATAGTCTGATCAGATGAGACCAAAACTTAACTCTTTGGATGCCATAATACACACGTTTGGAAGTCAAATGGCACTGCACATCACCCCAAAAACACCATACCAACAGTGAAGTTTGCAGGTGGGAACATCATGTGTGGGGCTGTTTTGCAGCCAACAATACTGACAAACTTCATATCAGTCAAGGAAGGGTGAATGGAAAACTGTACCAAGACATTCTTGATAAAAACTGCTGCCATCTACCAGGATGATGAAGATGAAACAAGGGTGGACATTTTAGCAAGACAATGATCCCAAACACAAAGCCAAGGAAACTCTTAATTGGTTTCAAAGAAAGAAAATAAAGGAGCTAAAATGGCCTAGCCAATCACATGACTTGAATCCAATAGAACAGTGGTCTTCAAACTACAGCTCGAGGGCCGGATGCAGCCCTTTGCTTGCCCTTAGGGCATTTTTTCTCCCACTGATACAAGACACTATTCCTCCCACTGACACCAAAAAGGGGGCATAATTCCTGCTACTGAGATCAACAACAGTCACTATTCCTCTCACTGAAACAAACCATGGGGCCCTATTCCTCCTATTTCTCCAACTTACACCAAGAATTGGGTGCTATTCCTCCTGTAATGGCAAAGATGCATTGTTTAGAAAATCTATGGAAAGAACTAAAGATCAGAGTTCATGGAAGAGGCCCACGGAACCTTCAAGATTTGAAGACTGTTTGTGTGGAAGAATGGGCCAAAATCACACCTAAGCAATGCATGCGACTAGTTTCTTCTAAAGGAGGCATCTTGAAGCGGTCATTACCAACAAAGGATTCTGTATGAAGTAATAAATAAATAGCGTGTTCAATACTTTTTTCCCTGTGTCTTTCCATTTTATTACACATAACTTTAATTTCTGAACTTGTTTTGGATTCTTTGTATGTATGGATTCCATTGGTTGTTACCGACATGTGCTGAAAATTTCATGTCAATAGCACCTTTAGAAATATATTTACCGAGAAAAAATGGTGACATGTTCAATACTTATTTTACCCGCTGTATCATACACAGATGCTACTACCTAAATATCAATGACTTCAGGAACATCTGCAGCAGTCCTAACAAGTCTTGGAGTGGTGACTTGTAACAATCACCAGAGTAAACTGAGAGTTATTCTGAATGAGATGACCAAACCTAATAAACTACAACTATTACATTTTAATTTCACATTCTCATTAAAGCCAGCAATTTATGAACATACTGTAGAACACTGCAAAAGGAAGTTTAAAGTAGTTGCTACCCTTAACCTCCACCCACCATAACATCACCCACCTTGCAATAGGGTGATCCAGTAAGAGATACTCAAGTATGCTTTTTCCATCTTTGGTAATGATAAGCTCGCCAGTGGATTTAATAAAGAGAACCTGTCCTCCTCCTGGACCAAAACAGCGACACAGAATTTCCTCCAACGATTCAGCCACTTGTAGTATTTTAGATATGTCCAAATGCTTTGTATGCTGCACCATTTTTTCTGCCAAAACAAGAAAAACAGGTTATTGTGAAAGTTAAAGTATAGTAAATTTTTTTTTTTTTTTTAGGGATTCAGCACCAAACACATCAATAGAGTTATGTGTAAGTCTAAATTAAGTGAACCAATGGAGAGCTACAATTCAAAACTCTACCTGAAACCAAATGTGATAAAAATACAAAAAAATTATAATAATTATATACTAAAAAAAAAAAAAAAAAACCCCCCAAAAAATAACCAAAAAATAATTATGTTTTTTTTTTTTTAGTGACCTCTTTTCCTTATTCACCAAGTGCTTCAAACACTGCATTTCCACCACCAGATATCTGCTCACCTCCAGCAGTGTGACACCAACTATGTGCTGCACTTGTCAAATGGACAAAGATCACTGCATGGATAATCAGTTGTAATTCCCACCTCGTTTGGGATGTTAGATCTCATCACCTCATCAATAAAAAAACTCCACATAGTGCATAGAGCTATATAACATTTTAATATCAAAAATAATCTACAAATGCACACTCACATGCAAATGGTGCCTCACCACACCAGGTGTGTACTGCTTTTGGTTGTAATAGCTTGGCAATCTGAGAAAACTGTACCGTGAAGAGTCAGCTGTATCTGCCTATCCGCTCCGATATTGACAACCATACAATATAAGGAATAACATCCACCACCGACGACGCTATGCTTACCGGCCTGGATGGCAATGTATACTCCACTGCAAACGTATTGCAATCAGTGTGCACTAACTCTGTAGTGATCGCCGACTCCGTATTGCATCGTGATGTCATCCAATCTTCCTCCCCTACAGAAGGATGCAAGCGTATTGCAATCAGTGTGCACTAACTCTGTAGTGCTCTGTAGGGGAGGAGCCTTGGATGATGTCATGACGCAATACGGAGTTGGCGATCACTACAGAGTGCTGCCTTGGTTCACTTAATTTATTCAATATGTCTTATATGAGATAGGGGTTTTGTGCATAAGCGGCTACATAATTGTATATGTTATATTTATTATTTTTCACTATTTATCACAATTTGGTTTGTTGTGCTTAGAAGCACACAAGATTTATTGTTAAACTGATATGTGTAAGTCTAGGTGCACACCTATGCAGGTTGCGTTTGAGGCATTTCTGCATTGCATTTTGCGTGTTTTTCACTTGTGTTTTTGCCACGTTTTGTATGTGTTTATTTAGAAATTTTTTAAATTTTTCTTCTTGCTAGGCAGATTTTAAATGCAAAACACATCAAAAATACGTAAAAAATGCAGCAAAAATGCAATTCATGCTTTTCTGCACCATTCCCATTGAAGTCTATAGAGCAAAAAACGCAACGTTTTTCGTTCAAAAATGTCCCTGATCCTTTCCAAAAATCGCACTAGTGAAAACACGAAGATGTGAACCTGTCCCATAGGAAATCACGTTAAATGGATTGTACTGCATTTCTGTAAAACACAGCAGAAAACGCTCAGGTGTGCACCTATGGTAATGGTTTGTATACATATACTGCAGGCTTCTTGTAACAATCCACCCTTTATGCTGCCCTTATAGCCCCTAGGCAGCTATCTGGTGCTGTATGTGTTAACAGCAGGGGCGGACTGACCATTCAACCACTTGGGCACTGCCCGAGGGCCCAGGGTCAGTAGAGGGCCCCATAAAATGCCTCTGGTACCTTTTTATAGGCTTTTTTGGGTGTGCTTTGAGTGTAGGCAAGGACACGGGGCCCCATGATCCCCTATTGCCCCGGGGGCCCCATGAGTTGTCAGTCCGCCCTTGGTTAACAGCAACCACTGCTTAGGTGAAGAGTTTGGCCACTCGCCCACCCTCTTCTGCCCTTTTCATCATTCAGAGACCCACAACACATTGTGTTATGTAAATAGAAGAGAAGGGAATAAATGACAGGATCTCTCATCTGCTCAATCACAGAATGTGTTGCATTGTGGGAGAATATTAGTAGGTCTCTGAATGGTACAAAAGGGCAGAAGGAGGGGGGGGAGCAGGGGAACTGCACAACACCTCACACTAGCAGTGGCAGCTGTTAACCTAATACCTAAGCTGGCCATAAATGGATTAAAATTTGCCCAGTTCAGGAGGTGTTCTAATCCCTCTCCACTATAACCACAACTAAAAAAAAAAAGCTTAGAGACTGTACAGTAAAGTCAGCCATACTGTACATGGTTCGAATTCTGAATGAATTATTTTCTAAGAATTTTGGTTCGAATTTCACACCATCAGTGGGGCCACAGCACCGATTTTCAAGCGACCATTGAATTTGAGTGATCGGACAGGCTGGAAAAGTTTTGAAAAACAAACTAATTTCTAATCAATGATGGGAGGATCATGCGATTAACGTAATCTAAAAAGAAATGAGCCTGAGCTGTGACCTGGAAAGAAAAGAAAATTATTGGCCATGAAAATTCTTTTCTATAGCAACATGAGGTGAAATTGAAGGCTTGGTTGGTTGAATTTTGAAATCAACGTGGCACCATCGCATTACAAAATGCACGAAATTTCCGATTTTCTAAAGAAACTTCGTTCAGAATTCGACCCATGTATGGCTTGCATTAGTGTTTAGGTACAATTTAACCACTTCCCCTCTCACACCTGTTCACCCCCTATGGACCATAGCAATTTTTAAATTTCCTGTAATTCAGCAATATCTTTGTTATAACTAAAAATAAGGCAATACACATATTTGTCAAATAAATTCTGTAATAAAGACCAGTCAGTGCTGCTCTCTCTCTCTTTGTGCAGGGTGACTGGTCTTGTATCCACCCCTCTGTAGTTATCTGCAGGCAGCCTGTAGTGGGTGGTCCTGCTGAGCCCCTCTCGCAGCTCTGCTCTCTTGCACAAGCTATGTGTAGCATAGTGATGATGTCACTGCTACTTTCACAAGGTAGTATCAAAGTTTGCAAGGCATTTGGTGCACACAGAGTAAATTTATATATTTTGTGGCTATTGCAGAATATAATTTATGCCCAGGGTTCAGCTTTGAGCATGCATAAATGTTAAATATTTAGACTGCATATAAACATAGCCAACAGTTATTAGCAAAATACACACTTTATCACAGAAGTAGTTTGTCCACATTACAAGTTATCCATAAATGTTTTTCTTTTTTTCAATCCAAACCTCAGACGACAATCTGCCCTGTTGTATAATCTCCTACAACATCACAAAAATGCTGAATGCAAATTAGTTTAAGAATACATTTATACAAAACATGAAAATGCTTTTGCAAACAAAAGCTTCATCTCTACGGTAATATTTTCAAAGTCTGGAAGAGCAGCATCATAGCAGTGCTTCCACAGAGAACAATCTGCAGACAAAAAAAGCCCTTCCGTCCCTATGGGAGCTGGGCTAAACAGCAGTAACATCAGAGAGAAGAGCGGCACACAATACTGTACTTCTGCCAGCCACTGTGGGAAGGTTTATTTCCCCACAAAACAAGAGTTTTCTGCACAAGCATCCCTATGCATGGTTCGAATACTGGTCAGTAGGGATGCACCGATATGGAGCATTTTCCTGAGTACTTGTCAAAGTGCTCCCGATACCTAAACCAATACTTTGCGATGCGATTTTCGTCAATACAAAATGTGTGGAAGCTAACTGCACCGCAAAGAATAGCATGCAATTTGAACAGGAATGTTACTCCTGTCCAAAACGCATCAGGTTTCCCCACTGCTCCTGTGTGAACCCAGGCTTGTCATAGCCTGAGTTCACACAGAACCTCCCTGCACCAATACCATGCTGAGCGAGTGAGCGCAGAGTGGGAGAAGGGCATGTGAGGATGTATATACCGGTGTCAGCTATCAGGCGGAGGATGGAGGCAGATGCTCCGGCTTCTCGGCTGTAGGAGAAGAGAGAAGGCCACAGGGATCTGAAATCCCCGTGGCCTTCTCTCCTCGCAGGGATGACAGTATGGGCTAGACACCTCTTGATTGATCAGCACCGTCATTGTGTATATATTGTGGGATCTTCTAAAAAAAGTTCATCTTTTTTCCAGGAAAGACACTTTAAAGCAGGGGTAGGTAACCTTTGAGATGTGGAGATCTACCTGGACAACATGGAAGAGGTAAAAGGTCATCAGGGTGTGCCCCTCCTTTTCTTTAAAAAAAGAAATTAACTAGCAAGCCCTGATTAAAAAGAAAGACAGTATGAAGAAAACTTGCAAAAATCTTATAAAATTAATGTCACTATAGAAATATTACCTTACCCTACCTTAAAACTTTAGCTTCAGTGAGAAACTCAGCATTCGCTTTCATTCACAAGTCTGGGGAGTAATTGATTACTCCCACAAGGCTGATACTGGAGTTCATCATGAAAGCAGAACATCTGATATTGCAGGATGATTTGTTCGACTAGTTTCAGGATTTCTAGTCATCATGTAGTATGTAGGGCAGCACCCAGGGCTCAGTAGTATGTAGCGCAGTGTACAGGGGGAAGTGAAATGTAGGTCACTGTACAGAGGTCAGTAGTAGGTAGGCCAGTGTAGAGAGGTCAATAGGATGAAGAGAAATGTAAAGAAATTAGCTGTATGAGGAGCAGTGTATAGAGATCAGTAGGGCAGAAGACAAGGGTGTGCAGCTCAGAGGTTAGCAGGGCAGAGAATATGGAGCCGGGAGGGTCCAGTGCAGGGAGGTTAGCAGGGTACAGTGCAGGGAGGTCAGGAGGGTACAGTGCAGGGGGTCAGGAAGCTACAGTACTGAGGGGTCAGGAGGGCATGGCGAAGGAGGGGTGAGGGAGGTACGGTGCAGGGGTGTCAGGACGGCACAGTACTGGAGGTTCAGGAGGGTACAGTATGGGGGGGGTCAGGCGGGTATGTTGCAGGGAGGTCAGGAGGGCACAGTACTGGGAGGTCAGGGGGGCATTGTATAGGGAGGTCAGGAGGACACAGTACTGGGAAGTCAGGAGAGCATGCTGTTGAGGAAGTCAGTAAGGTGGGATTTTAGGCGGTCACAGTACTGGGGGGTCAGGAGGACACAGTACTACAGTACTAGGGGGTCAGCAAGTCTGGGGTGCCAGGAGGGCATAATACTGGTGGATCAGGAGGGCACACAGAAGTTTTCTCCTTCCACAGAGTGGCGCACAGAAGCTACCATGGCACACCTGAACATTCCAGTACTGATCCCTGCAGGTCCTCCTCTCACATGACATCACTCACAATCGCCTTGGTTTCTGAGAGGAGGGTCTATGGAGAGAAATGCAATACACAATGGAAGAGCTCAGAAGATCCTGAGCCCCACCTGGGGTATTTCAGAGGCTTTCCCCGCCCCATGGCCGCATGTATGCAAGGGGCAGGGGCTGCCTCTGCAGCCTAGAATTGGCTGGGTGTGTGCCTGCACTGGTCTGCAGTTATAGGCAAATCACAAAGTAGGCAATGCGGGGACGTCTTCATGATCTTCCCATCACCCACCAGCGGTTGACAGGTAGATTGTGATCGACAGGTTGCCGACCCCCACTTTAAAGTATATCTGTCAGGAAACTGTGTGCGCCAGCCAGCATTGGCACACACTTTCAAGTGCACAGGCGTCAAGCTGCCTTTTTAACGGAGATCCTAGTGTGTGCTAATCGCTGGATGTTCTTCAGCTTTCCCATGATCCGTGTTCCTGGAAGCTGCTTGTTCTGACCTTGCTTTGTGAATTCTGGATACTGAACTCGGCTTGCCTCTGACTATTCCTTGCCTGATCCCCTAGTACTGACCTCGGCATGCTACTGGACCTTGCTCTGCTTGCCTCCCTGGTACTGACATCAGCCTGCTTCCTGACCACTCTGTTGCCCTACCGTGTGTGACCCTGGCTCACCTTGACTGTGGCAGTCACCTGCTACCAAGCTGCTGGCACTCGTGCTTCGTCTGTCACCACATCCAGGGGTGATCAGACCAGAGCCGCAAGGGAAGCTCTCTCATTAACTCGGCCTCCAACCAAGGTATGTGACAATATCTAAAATGAAGAACTAATATGGATATTGCAGCCTAAAGCAGAGCTTTAGTCATAACAGTTTAACCACTTGCCCTCCAGAGGATTTACCCCCTTCTTGACCAGGCCATTTTTTGCATTACGGCACTGCGTTACTTTAACTGTCAATTGCGCGGTCATGCAATGCTGTACATAAATGAAATGTCCTTTTTTCCCACAAATAGAGCTTTCTTTCAGTGGTATTTGATCACCTGTGAGTTTTTTTATTTTTTGCACTATAAACAAAAAAGACTGACAATTTTGAAACAAAAAAAAAATATTTTTTACTTTTTGGTATAAAACATATTCAGTAAAAAAAATAACAAAAATCAAATTTCATCATAAATTTAGGCCAAAATGTATTCTGCTAAAAGACTTTGCTAAAAAAATAAAATAAAATCCTAATACATGTAAATGATTGGTTTACGTGAAAGTTAAAGCATCTACAAATGGCGGTATATATATACTGGAATTTTTATATTAGTAATGGCAGTGATCAGCAATCTATAGTTGAACTGTGGAGGGCATTCTGACACTGGGTGGGAACTGACTGACTGCCACCGACAACCCCAGTGACACTAATACAGTGATCAGTGCTAATAAAAAGCACTGACACTGTACTAATGACACTGGGCAGGAAGGCGGTCAAAGGGTTAACTGTGTGCTGTTTAATATAATGTGCTGTGTGTGTTTTACTAGGGAAACATGCTGCTGTGTATTACTCTGCTGTGTGGGGAAGTGGATAACAACTAATGTTATTATGTCCCCTCCCGCTACTCCTAAATGTGATCTAGCGGCGAATCCGCCACTCAGACCACTTTTAGGAGAAAAAGAAAAACGCCTCCTGAAAAAAAACAATACCAGGGTTAAGGCACATTGCTGCAGCCATAACCCCAGTAT